TGATTCTCATCTGGGTCCCATCTAAACCAAGAGATTTGCTGGGGCACTTCCAAACCAGTGAGGGGATGCACTGTTCAATCCCTTTTGGGTCAATCTCTGGCCACCCTGGAACACAAAGATGTGTCTGTCACTTCTTTCAGTCTGGATCTGCTTTTCAGATTCTGCTTTTCAAAGCAGCACTTTGGCTGCTTTATGGTGAAGAACTGTGGGTTATTACATGCTTAAAAAAAAAATAGAACATTTTGCTCCAAAGCAATGCTTTGCTTGTTGTCCTACAGTTTATAATCTTGTGTCATTTTCAGCATCAACAGAGGAAAAAATAACAAGGATAATTACATTTAATCTATTTTAAAACACACTCACTCCAGCTGTCAGAAACACTGAAAATTATGTTGATTTTTTTTCCCCAACCCTGATTTGTCTTTTGTTCCACCAAACAAATCTTAATTAACTTCTGCAGTAGCAGCATGAGGCAATTCTTTTATCATTGCTGTGTATTTGCTAAAGAGCTTGCCAGCAAAAAGCATCAGCAGAGTAATTAGATTAATCCAGCACTGCCTGTGCTGTTCTGAGCTCTGGTTTTGGGCCCCTCTCCTTGATTTAATCCACATTTTCAGGAGTTTTTGTTCTGACTGAGAGCCTGATGCTGTTGCTCAATAATGAGCCTGCTCTGTGCTCAGTTGGACTCAGAGTGGTTGGGTATCCACAGCCACCAACCTGGGCCAGAGTGCAGCTCCTAATTAGCAAAATTTACACCTGCTGAAATATATGATTAAAAACCACAATTATTTGGCCATTATCACCTGGAGAAGGCAGAAGTCCACACATGATTTGTCTTTCCAGTGAGTTTCTCACACTTACTGTCAGCTGTCATGCACAGCTTACTCCTGGATCCAAGGAATTTAAACAAGGCCCTCTTGTCTTTGCAGTTTCCTTTGCTTCCTTTACCTTGTTTATTCTCCTTCTGTTTCTTGGTGCTGTTCATGGAATTAATCCATCTTCCTGCAGTTCTGTGCCAAGATATGGATTTATGAGCTGTGTCACCTCAAAGATTGGGTCTTATTTTTCTGCTCTGTAAAAAGATTCAGCACAGTTAATTCACTTTTTACCTTGTTTCTAAGATGGAATTGTTTTGGGTGTTTAGACACAGAAGCTGTTAGAACTTTGGCTGTTCTAAAAAACCCAATTTTCAGGGGTTTTTCAGATTTGGGGGTTGAAATTCTCTCTGGATTATAAATGAATGCCTCTCTTTTAAAGGACAGCACAGGCTAATACAGTTCAAAAAGGTGGTTTTGGCATTAGCTTATGTAATGCCAGAATAACTTGGCAATTTCCTTCAGCTCTTGCCTTTTCCCTGGAGAGAATGTGCTTATTCTTTCTTGTGCTTCTCAGAGGACAGCCCAGAAGTTCTTTCCTCTTCAGCTGCTTTCTCCTGAGGTATTTTCACACTGTTTTTGTGCTGCTTGTGTGTAATCTCAGCTGAGGGATGCTGTGAAGTGCTGGACATGGGGATGAGGATGTTCTTAGCCCCTCAGTCCTTTATCTTTGGTTTGGGATTGCTTAAACTGCTTTTCTTTTCATCATTATGGAGTTTCCAAGGGCATGTAGAGACAGAACAAAGGGGAATGGGTTCAGAGGGGTTTGGGTGGGATATTGGGTGTGGTGGTGTTTGCTGGGGTCCCAGGATGAGGGGAGAGATGAGGATCTGACTCCATGTTTCAGAAGGTTTGATTTATTATTTTATGATGTATATTATATTAAAACTATACTAAAAGAATAGAAGAAAGGATTTCATGAGAAGGCTGGCTAAGAATAGAAAAAGAATGATAACAAAGGCTTGTGAATGACTGATACATTCTGGACAGCTGACTGT